TAGACATGGCATAATAACGACGTAAAATAAATAAAAAAAAAGACATGGCATATGTAAACTCTAAATGTTTTGACGAATTTATGATAAAACGAATCATACAACAATAACAATGATAATGTTGATAATAATAATAATGACAATGCATAAACATCATAATAACATAGATGTACATATATAAGCTGCAACCAACCACTGGGTATTGTGGCTTTGCGCGCGCCAGTCAGTCAAGCGAGCGAAAACGGAGAGAGGGAGAGATCCTTACGGCTCTCCCTCACATCAAAGAATGACCACGCGATTAGCGTCGAACCCCCAGGCTCTGTCTCCAGATGACGTCATGCGCGAGACGGACGAATTTGAGTCGCTTAGTGAAGAGACCTGTATTTATATAGACCTTGATCTCGTGACAGCTCTGCTGACAGGTAATAAATGTCATGCGACTTTAATTTAGTATCCGATTGTGATCGAGCTGGCTATGGATGTCTGTCGGTCCCCATGGCCGATTTCAGTAGCGAGAACAGCCTCTTTCTCCGAAATTTTGCTAGGTTTTAGAGATTGAGGATTTCTGGCTCCTGGTATCAGTACTCCAACCTGTATCGCTTTACTACATTGTTAGCACTCGCTTGAGGATCCTTCAGAACTGCAAAGTTTACCGGAGTGCCGAGATCTGTGGTACTGACCATAGATTAGATGTGGCTACCGTACGGGTCCGCTTCCAAACCACCTGTCTTTCCAGTGGCCACTCCAGTTTCACTTGGATAGATTTAGGGAGGATGAGTGTGCACAGGGGTTTGCAACAGCTATCTCTGATTAGTTCATATTGCTCGCAAACTTGACCAGCTCTCTGATATTCCTTTAAGCGTGAAACACTTGATGGAGCACAGTTTGCAAAGTTTGTGACGTCAGATTCTGGCTATGGTTGTGTGTGGGAGTGAGAGGGTAGTGGTTCAGTTTTTTGCTTATCTAGTCTTATAATAATTATATTATAAAATATTATCATAATAAAATATAATAATCATTATTATATATAATATATTTTAATTATATAATTATATAATTATTTTATTATTATATATTATATTTATATATAAATTATTATATTATATATAAATTATTATATATAAATTTATATATAATTATTAATTATATATATATATATAATATAAATTATATATATATAAATTATATATATAATTATATATATTTATATATAAAATTATAATATATATATTATATAAGATAATAATTATTATATATAATATAATATAATATGTATAATAAATTATATCAGTCACTGTTCCTTGGGCATCATGGGACGATGTTTCAGGTGATTGACAGCTCTTTGCGTCGTCTGTGGGCAGTGCCAAGGAGGGCCATCTTCTGGGCCTCACAGATGGTGATGTTGCCAGGAATCTTATTGGTGTATTTATCCAGTTTTTTTATTATTATTATTAATCCTGATGCTCCAATTATAACGGGTATCACTTCAGTTTCATGTCCCACATCTTTT